GAGAATGCTGAGGATGATTGCTGGGGTAACAAGAAAGGATAAGGTGCGCAGTACAAGAATACTAAATAGTTTAAAGGTAGTGCCCATTAAGACTAAGTTAATGGTAAACAGACTTAGGTGGTATGGGCACACAATGAGAAGGCCTATGAACTACATAGGAAATAAAGTTGAAAGATTGGAAGTGATGGGCAAACGTAAAAGAGGAAGGCCAAAACTTCAATGGGGCCATAAAGTTAGAGCCAATATAAAGAAGTATAAAATAGATAAAAGAGATTGTACGAATAACATAAAGTGGAGAGAGATGTTGAAGGAGCTTACCACCAGAAAAGGTGAAAGCTAAAGAGAAAAAAAAAAAAAAAAAATATTTATTATGTAACACTATTTCTAAAAACTCGGCTAAGCTGTTGGAGCCGACTAAAATTAACCGATTACGTAACACTACATATAATTCTAAACTTAACAAATATTTCGAATATTTACTAAAATTTATGAATTTCAAAAATTTACGAATAGGAATTATTTTAAATTTATTATTTGTCAAATAATTTTTTTTAGTTATTCGTATTTTTAAATTTTGATTTGAATATCTAATCATTTTTTAAGGCCCATTTTGATCGCGGGACATTCCTTAGGATCGTATTTTGAAGGACATAATAATACCACCTAAATAATCTTAAATTTAAGCTTAAAGAACCAAGCATTTTTATTGAAGCACCTATTTTAATATAATTGTCTAACTGGAATTAATTGAATTTTGTCATTTATGAAAGTTTTTTTTCAATCCAGTTAGAGGATTAAAACAAATTATAATATAATTTGCCTATCTAATATATAAAATCAATCAGTATATTTTGGGCTTAGGCATATTAGTTACATAGTGTTTTTTTCCAATTAGGACGTTAAGAAAACACTGTTTTTTGGAAAAAATCCCAATATTTTTTGAAAAAAGACATGTAAAAAAAATAAACCGCGACAAAATACAATAAAACACAAAATCCATCCTATAAATTTTCTTCATATTCCATACTCTTTAAGTACTAAAAAAGGAAATAAGGATATATTTCCTAATCTAAATGATTACTTGCATCAGTTTATATATGATAAAACGAAATATTTTTATTATTTCAATAATACGATAGAGTGGGGAGGGGGGGGGGGGTTAGGAAATAATTGGTTCTACATGACTTGCATGGTGGTCTCCGTTCGTCCTTGGAAATGTCCCACTTTTATAAAGCGTCCTTCCTAAGCCCAAAATATATATTGATTTTATATATTAAATAGGCAAATTATATTATAATTAGAGAATAATTAAAAAATAAATTAATTATTGCCTAAGAATTTATATCAATAGTTATTGTAAGTTTTTTATTTCCTTTATGTTGTAATTTTGTATTTTTACATTATATATATTATTTTATATAATATCAATCAAACAATATATAAGTGTAGATTATATATTTAATTTTATATAATATCTTATGGCAATATTATATGATATGCATGTAAGACGTCAATAGATTGACAATTATTTTGAATTATAGATGATAGTGGTCATCTAGAAAAGAATTCCCTTGTCATGCAAATAAAGTGTAAAATTTATATATATATATAAACCTATTAATAAAAATTTTAATTGTAAAGTATAATTTATATGATGTCAATAAAACGAATCTTTTAGATTTTACTAAATTTTAGTGTAAGTAAGTTGAAAAAATAGATAACGAAAATATTGTATTCTTATTATGCATGTTGGTCATGGACCTGTCCAGAGCGCATATAAATTATATGAAGGCCCATCCTCCATATAATTATGCCGATTTTTTTCTCAAGGACACCAACAAACCTTGTAACCCAGATAAAGTTAAATAAGGAGTGGAACTATACTCGAGCCGTATATGTGTTTAGTGTAGAGTTAAACTGTAAAATGTAATTTAAGTTAAAATGATCTTATCTGGATCCAAATACAGAATTTTTGATTGTAATCATTTTCAAGCCTGCATTTAGTTTGAAATTGAATACACATACATCATAACATAATTATTTTTCATACCAATAATTCTAGATCCCATTATTTATCACTTTCAACTCAATCTGGTCTGCCCTTTTCGATATATAATTTGTATGTTTTTCATCTTTGCAATTTTCTGCCATGAAAATTAGGATGCAAACATATTTGTTGTTCATATCTATTGTCTTTATAACCATACTCCTTATCTAGGACTTCATTAAATGTTAGTTTTAAAATTGAGCTGATTTTTAATGGTTTGCATCACTTTCAACTACAATTTTTGAAATTCAACAAAAGAATAATATTGTCTTGAATTATGTATAATCGGGGTTCATAAAGTCATAACATTTCTAATTTAAAAATATGTTTTTTTTATTCGAACATATTATATTTTAATTTCAATTTTTTAGCATTTATTTTATTATAATTCTTACAAGGATTCAGAATTGGGAACCCTTTAGAGACAGTGGCTGGGTGACCGGTATTTTCCTTCAAAGATATTTTTTTAAAATGAATAGTATAACAAAATTTGTTCGTTGAATTTTAATTCCCCAAATTTTATATAAAAAAAGAGAAAATTTTTTTTATTTGAGTTATTAAAAAACGAATTTATAAAAAAAATAATTTAAAAATATATATAAAAATTTAAAACAAACATGATAAAAATTAAAAAAAATAAGATATAGGTTTTATTGTATTGCTTCGTAGAGGCTTATTTGAAATAGAAGGCTTAATTACGATCGCCACTTATTTGGCTTAATTTTCTCCCTAATAATGTGATAAATTTAAGGAATTCCTCACCTAAAACACCAGGAGTATTGGTGACACGTGGGATAAAATTACGATAGCGATATCTTAATATTTGTTTATTTTCAAAATTTCTACCGAATTAAGTACTGATGCATTTCTTTGTAACACGCCGATAAGTTAATGCATGTGTAAAATCCCAAGCTACAGGAAGACCAAGTTATTAGGCTGATACCATCGGATCATCTGTTGTTGCTCGAGCATAAGTGATTGGGTTCTATAATATTCGGGGTGCTGGCTCTTTTAAGAACTTTAGAGATTAAATTATAAATGTTCGTATGACGTGGGTGTCCGGCCTTAAGATCGACAAGGCAAATGATTGTGTCCTCTGGAATAGGGTGATATAAATACATTTAGAGCGATATATCGCAGCCAAGATGAAGCGAAATAGCTATATGAATAGCAAAATTTATTATAAATGTCACCTGGACGCTGCCATTGTGAACCATATGAAATAAAGATTTCATTTATTTATATGAATCAATAGATTACAGTAAATAGAATAAAAACATTAAAATATATATATGTTAAATAAATTATATGACACAATTTTTTTTTAATTAAATAGTTACAGAAAAGAATTGTACTTGCCGGTTTATATATGGGCGTCATTACCAAAAAAAATCCCATAAGTATAAATCATTTTATAGATTTAATATTGAGAATGAAAAACATCATTATTGTTATAAAATTTATATTTCATTTCCCCGTAAGCAGAATATTTCAATATCTACAATAGTTAGTTAAAGCATAGTTGTCAGATAATCCCAGAGTTGAGAGCATCGCGAATACATGTATTTAAAATACGAAATAATAATATTTTAAAGAAATAAATAATTTTGAAGATGATATATAGATACCAGTTCCACCGAGTATGTTATAAAATATTTTTAGTTGAATATCTAGAAATGTCTCTATCTCTATATCTCAATTAACCATATTAGACTAAGGGTACTTCAAACTATCTTCCAAAATCAATAATAAAGTAAAAGCACGTTATTATTTGAAATTGTTTAGTATCTATTATATTAAAATTCTATGTCTGGGATATAATTCTAAAATAAAAATACGTACAAATTTTTCGATACGATATAATTATTTATATAACTTAGAAATTGACGATGCATTCATTAAAAGTTTATATAAATATAAAACAGCTGAGGGCGCCATTTTGCTTAGGGCATAGCAAAAATAAATTTTAAAGCTAAGTAAAATAATATCCTACTTCACAATTATTCCAAGGCTATTTTCATAAGAAACTATGTATTTAGCAGACCAAATTAAAATAATTATAAGTATTCTGAAATCTATAGGTTACCAAAATGGTAGGTTACGTGGTCTCTAGCTGATTTCCATTTAATGATACTTACTATAAATATCTATTTCTAAAAAGTATACAAAATTAACATTTATACTTTTTAGAAAATTTGTGGGTATTTAGTATTTATAATTAAAATACTCTTTTTTGTATTTTTATTTATATTCAAATACTTTTCTTTTGGAAATTTGCCAAACTCTGCTGATAATATGGCCTAACCTCAAAAGGTATAACATGCATGCATATGTGGGTTTAATCTATGTCCTCAATCTTATATGCCATTTAAAAATGATATGTACTAAATTTGTTTCAAAAAAAATCATCGCGTTAGGATGAAAACGTCAGGGCCCCGTCATGTCAGACCTGAAAACACTGTCTAACCAAAAAGGAAATATACCAGGCTTATAATATTGACATTGGTATTCTCTGAATATATACCTTTTATCTTGTGTTAACTTATGAGTATAGTTTTTGTTCAGATTTGTATATTTTAATTCACGTTAACATCTCCAACCATCCACTTATGATCTCCACTAAACCACCAAGTGTCTAGATCCCTTCCCACCGACATTTATTTTATATTATAAAAAAATCATGGTATATAAAAATATTAATTAATTTAGATAGTGCTCTACATTTATTTTATATTATAAAAAAATCATGATATATAAAAATATTAATTAATTTAGATATAAATATGTGAAATATTTATTAATTTATATAAATATTTGAAAATATATACATAATCTATTTAGATTTACAAGATGTAATATCCAACGCTAACATACAAACAAATAAATAGAATGCTTTACATCTAATTTTAAATATGGAATTTTATATTATAGAAGTGGTAATAATTTAACTACGATCTTAAAGACTGTATTGCCTAATTTTTTTTTAAAGATATCAAACATTAAAATGCGCAGATCCTATTTATCAATTATACCTCCAAAAAATTTAAAGATATAATATTTTTTTGCAATGTAAAAGAAAAAAAGAAAAACATATGTTAAGATACCTTTAAAAAAATTAAATAAGTTTTTAAAAAATGTGAAGTTTAAATAATACTTGATTTCTATAAAAAACTTTAGAGAAAATGCCTATTCACTTCAAAATGTTAATAAAAAAGGTAAATTGCGATTGAAGCTATATTTCCATAGATTGGCATATTGTTTGTCTGCGGGACAAACATGAGAGTATTTGTTCGGTATCTTTTTCCGCCAATTCTTTCCGCTTTAGCTTGGCTTTTCTGTATTTTTTGAACAATTCCTTGAGCTATAAATATTTACGTTTTTATGTATTGTTGAATATTAATTTAATATTGGAAATGCATGGGGATTTATCTCAATAATTAGCATTGTAAGAAAATTTCACAAACGAAAATATTCCAAAAAAATATTAGAGAACCATAAATTAATACTATGATTTTTTAATTATTATCAGATTTGCAGAAGTCAAATTTGCCAGATTTTAAAAATTATTACCGCCAATAGGTATTTTTATTATTAAGATCGTTTCGACCCGATTTTTTTATAATTTCGTTTTTAAATAAATTGGGTTGTATTTCGTGAGTTGTCTAAAGGGAAATTGAAAATATGAGCAGTAAATAAAAGTTAAATAATTCATTGTATAAATTTCCAACATTTTTGAATTGATTGCTATATTTTGAATTCATTCAAAAATTGGTCATGCAGGTCTCGTTTTTATAAAACCAACAAGTATCTACCCAGGTTGCGATTATATTGCGCATCTTGATTTTAATATATTATTTGCATGTTAACAACCCGTTAAAAGTTAAAGCTGACTCTTAGGCTATTAAATCTTGCTAAAGAATAAATTAACTAAAAATGAAAAAATTTTAAGTGATTTCTTTATTAAGGAAGTAATTAAAGATTAGATAATAAAGAATCAGATTGAAAGAATGAAGGTCTAACTAGTTTATTAAATTCCAAAGAGATCATTCCACGTCAAATGACATCACAAAATTAGTTTTTGACGACTCTCGTGGAAAGTATGGTCAGTGTAAGTCAAAATTTAATCCTTCAAACAATTATAATTTTTGAATTTGAAAGAATCTAATTTTCTCATTATTGGATTAAATGCAATTAGTGATTTATTAAAAACACTAATTACAAAACTGAAGAGAAGAGAAGAGTATGGAATTTTTGGCGTCTATAATATAAAAACATAGCTTTAACTTATTCAAATAGGACATGATTATCTCCAAAGATATGAATGGGTGTGAAGGCTATAATTTTGACTTAGTCTTAGTTACATTGACATTGCTATACCAAATTTTATAAAAAATCTAAAGGGATCGGCCCAAACGTTAATTTGAAATGGAATAGAATCTGTAGAAGTGGGAGTGGGACAATTAATAGGAAAATTTTATTATCACCTATTATATCAATGATTATGATGTATATATTTTTGTATAAAATTTTATAAAGCAACTTGAAATCTGCTAAATATAATTTTATATAACTTAAAATCTTTTTTTAGTTTTTCCATGAGAAAAGTTTTCAATGTTAATTATTTCTCTTATAGTTTAAAAAAACACATCAATTTTGTATACATTTTATAATATGATTGCCAGACTGACTCAAACATTTCATATCATGGTGTCGATTGCTATGCTAAACTAGGCCCAGAAAAGGTATTTGGTTAGAAAGTTCGAATATGAATAATGAAAAAATGGGTTTTTATTATTCGAAATTATTGATAATATGGCAATGAAGAATAAAGTTTTTGAAGGACGAAACAATAAGAAAGATTTTATGCCTACAATATTGGCTGTTGTCGGATACGGACTCAACGCGAATTTATTTTTTCTGTATTATATTTTAAATTCAATGTTAACAATAAATCATATTGTGCTTTTTAGAAAAATATAATAAAATTTTAACATTGATAACAAATAATTAATTATAGTAAAAGAATTTAGATGTTTATTATAATTAAAAATAAAATATATAGTAATTTTAGAAAAATATTTTTATAAGGAATTCTATAAACCAGGTGTGTTTTAAGCCAAGTTTTATAAATCATTATGTTTTATTTTGATTGTTATTTTCTGTAAATTTTGATATGCTGATGATAATTAGTTTAGTAGAATCCTTAAAAGTGTCATTTTAAAATATTTCGTATATCTATTCAAAAAAAATTTGCAAAATTTATTAACTTTAGAAAAATTTTAACTTTCAGATTTTAATTAAAGAATAGTGAATTATTAGATAGGAATTCTTGTATACTATGGCCAATGGCATTTGACCACTAGTGATGGTCAGTATCTTAAAATGATTAAGTGGTCAAATACATTATTGGCACGAAGAACAACACCATGGCTACATCTTGAAATTGGGTGGGGGAGGGGGAACATGGAAACAAAATATGACGACTTACCTCTAAGTTTTAGTCACAATACTTTGAGTTTTAACCAAGGATGACGATCACATTCTAAACTTATCCTAAACCCCTGGGCTTTTTTTAAAATTAAGAAAGAAATCCTTTTAAAAACTTTAAAACCATGTTATTCCTCCATATCTAAATCGATATTAATGTGTGTATATATACTATTTATATGTATATACCTCTTCGTCTATAGTTTCGATTTGCAGTAACGCGGTATGCTCTGTGGTTGCGTGTTGTCCACGAGTAATTAATGCGGATATAAGGGAATTTATACGAGTTTCTTTAGGATGGGATAAAGGGACGTCGGCGGTAAATAATTGAGCTTAGAGGAAATATTTATAAAAAATATATTAAAATTATTTCCCTTCGGTTTGCATAAAGTGTGCTCCTGCCCTTTAAAGGAGCGCAAAGAAAATGAGAGCGCGTTCCTATATTCCTCATCGCATTAAGTTACCAGGATGCACTCTGGAGGGTCATTATTTATCAAAAATCATCGGAAAATTGAAATAAATATCGAATTGCTTTATAATGTAAAAAAAATCAAAGTGCGACATATCGAACAATTATAAAATAATATTTCAAGGTTTTTTTTGATTAGTTTCCTGATTCTTTAATTTGATAATGTCTTAAAAAAAATCTTTAGTTTTCAGGTAAAGAATGAATTAATTGTAAGTGGCAATAAATTGACATTTAGATAAGCTTATCATTTAGGGGAGATCGAGGCAAGATAACAGCCATTTTTGTTATATTGCAACAAAATTTTTATTTTTATTGGTTTATAAAACTTATATTATTAGAGAGTTATTAGACTACAAATAATAAAAAATGAATCATAGTCTCATATCTATTATAGTTTAGTAACTAGGTAAAATTTTTGTAAAAAATTAGTTTTTTGCCAATTTACCCCATGCCTTGGGTAAAATGGCGATACAACTGGGGTCAAATCCAAATATAAAACCTATGTCGCAGAAAATAAAAATGCCCACCATAATATTCCCTATATGGTACATCCCAACTCTTTATTTCAAAAGAGTTATGTTCATATTTATAAAAATTGTCTAATTTTATAAAATTTATTGATGAATATTTGACCATTTCTCCCTTCTTTATGACATATTCTATAATACCAATCTATGTAATGAGCTTTAAAATAATTAAAAAGAAGCATTCAAATCCTGGCGATTATATTAAATCATATCCTAATACCACACTTTAAGAGACGAACTATATTGTCTTGATAATAAGATTAGTACCGAAATTAGGATACAAGTCAGCTTGAGGTTCAATCGTTTCAGACTTATGATTCGCTTGAGAAGTCCGGGAATGGTCAAATTTTAGCAAATCTTCCTCGTCACTGTCACCTGGGCATTGTTGAAATAATTTATCGAGATCTTTATTTTCATATTAGTTTCATTTTTTTTTAATAATAAAAAGTGTCGTGAAAGCACATTACTAATAAAAAATAATAATAATTTGAGTTTATAATTTAGAATATAATATCATTTAGAGTAAATTAAACTAAGATTAACATGAATGCGTATGCCGAAATTAATGCATTCTTTCGTTGAACATGCTTTTGATTAAAAAAAAATTAAACGCTATAAATCAGAATTTAGAAATATTGGATTAGCAATAATCAGGTAACTAGATACAAAAAAAAATTATTTTACATTTTGGTGAATAACTAATAAAATTTTTTATCGGCAATTAAAAATCTATCTAAAAAAATCAAATTAAAACATTACATTTTTTAAGCCTAATTTAATTCCATTATTTAGTGAGCCAAGAACGTTGAAATGCAAAATGTATTTTTTATAACTATTTTATAATTTAAAATAGACTATATCCAAAATCTTATTTAAAAAATTCGAAAAGTTTTAAAATTTTAATGAAATCGTATGTTAAATTCTAGAATAATATTTTGGATATATTTATATTAAAAAAGCTAATTTTTTCTTTTTTGATAAAGTTTCAAAAGTTTGCGAATCGAATTTTTTAATTAATTGGACACAGCCTTATTATATTAAAAAATAAATTTCAGCGTGATTAATTAATATAAATTTGGATACATTTTTAGTAAATCTTTAATTAAAATATTATTATATTGCATATTTTATAAGTTTAAATAAAAAAAATATATATTTAAATAAATAACCAACCAATCAAAAAAATATAAGTTAGATGTATTTTTGATTCCACTCAATCTTATATTATTTTAGGATTATTATAGGAAAGAAAATTGACTGACCTATAATATCAGCTGTTAATTGTTTGCCGTTTTGGGGACAAGTGTTGACTACAAATTTGGCCTACTCTTTTAGACAAAATCATTAAAAATTGTGTTGGCACCTGTCCCCACCCCCTCTTTTTTTTATAACTTTAAAAAAATTATTCTTAATTATTTATTTAATATGTTTTAAAACCAATCAAATTAAGAAAATGTTATTTACCAGTATTTTCGGAATCGATTAAAAATGATGGTTGCCTTTGCAAGAGGGAATTAACCAAACCTTTGGTCATGAGGCGAAACGGTGAACCATCTCCAAAATTTTCGCTAAATAATATAATTTTACATTAAATATTAAATTGTATTTAAAAAGAAAACATTATTTTAAACATCGAAAAGCCTACTTAGTTGTTAACTGAGCTTGAACCTAATGAGTTGGCAGTTAAGTTTAATTTATTTTTTTAAACTTAGTAATTATATAATATTTATACAATTTTGTTAATTTATTTCAAAATATTTGCTTAAAATACTTTTCAGAAACGCATGTAATAATATTTTGATTATGAGAAAGCAATAATTTTATTTTTAACCAATCAAAAGAAACTTAATTCATACAAAAAATCGATCATGTGAATTAGCATAATAAATAGATTTAAGTCAAAAAGGCTAGGGAGGTATGAAGTAGAAAAAGAAGGGCTATAAAATGGCCAGCCGTATTAAGGTTATAAATAACTTTATTTGCTATCGAAAAAATCAAGTGATCAATAGGCTTCTGGGTTAGAAGATATTTTTAGTTGAAAGATGTACGGTATCCAACAGAGCCGCGAGGCCGAAATGAACCGTAAACGAACTGTTATAAATAGTTTAAAAGGAGAGAACCGTCCTGTTAAAAATATTTTGAAACCGGTTTAAACTGGTTCACATCCGTTTTAAAAATTATATTTAATTATTCTAAATGAGCATAATTTACTTTTTTTTAAAATTAGTACTAATCTATACGGGTTATGTGTCTTATTCATGTTTTATAGTAAAATAAAGAAATATAACTTATTTTATATATATTTTGCTTGTTATTTATTTTTTAAAGCTTTTAAAATATTTTTCGGTATTTATTTTTACAGCTTTTAAAATATACTTTGTTTGGTTTTTATTTTTAAGTTTCTATATAATTACTTTAAAAAATAGTAAAGAAAAACCGTAATCAACAGATAAGAATATCTAAACCGAAATAAATTTGTTCAGAGAAACCGAATTTTAACATTTTGAACTAAGAATCGGAAGGAAACTGAACCGTAAAACTATCGGTTCGAAATCGTGAAAGTAAAGAAGAAAGTTGTGAACATAAAAACAAGAATATGTGTATGTAGTCACCATGGTGCATTCGTTTTGCATCAGATATATTTAGAATCGGATGATATATTTATTTAATCTGATATGATCTCATAAGTTTTAATATGGAAAAAATAAATATTTTCGCTGATTTTTCAAAACTCACTCTTGTTAGAGCGAATAATACAATTATTTGATTTTAATATCAACCCAATGACACAAAATAAAATATTATAACACTTGGCTGACAATCGTAATAATAATATGAAATTTAAACCGGTACTAATTGACGTCAGCTATTCGTCATTTCGATTACGCTATATAAATGTTTCATAATATGATTAATTCCAGAACAAATCAATACAAAAACATGATTTTCGGCCGGACCCTTGCAGAATTTTTTAAAAATTCGTGTTTTTATAGCATATTGTAACTAAGACAAATTTTAGATTTCAAGCTCATCCAAGGGCAGAAATATGGGCACGGCTAAGAACCCGAACCTTCGAGATTCTGAACCCAAACCCAGTCATTTTTTTAAGGTTCGATAATTTTTATTTATTTATTCTCTCGATGATGATATTTTGGTATATATGATAATTCGCTTAGAGAAAATTTTTAAAATAAAATATTATTTTTTATATTGTATATTGTATTATTCTAATTATAATTATGATGATAAATTATTTTTATGGTGAAAAAACTAATAAAAATTTTAAAAAATTAATGCTTCTGTTATCTTAACTAAATTTATAAGTCCTTATTTTTTTAACTCCGATCATCTGTTTTTTTTTACTGAACCAGGATTCGAACCATTATTTTAGAACAAGGATTCATGGCCATGGATATGAAATCTAAATGTGCAAAATTTTATTATATTTTTGAAAAAATGCAAATATCTCTGTTAATTTGTTATGCTGGTATATTCATTTCATTCATATATATTCAAGCAGCTTAATTAAAGTTCTTAAATTATATAATATAATTTAATAGTTTAATTGCATTGGTTCTCTGTTCTAATGTTATAATATTTTATGTCACTGAATCAGACTAAAATTAAATTTTAAAATATATTTCGCCCGATAACAACTTAGTTTGTAAGCTTTAATCTTCAATTTAGACCCATTTATTATATAAGTATTCTGATCGCCCAAAAAAAGAGTGATTAAAAAATTGTTCTCGTTTTTTTCCTTATTCTCTAGAAAATTATATTTTTAATATTTCTGGTATTTTTTTCTTCTTCTTTTAACTCAGATATATTTTTAAACAATTTTTTCAAGGCTAGATGAATAATTATTAAATAAAATTTAAGAAGATATTTATAAACATTAAAAACTATAAAACAACTAATATAAGAAAATTTCAATTTAAAAAAATAACACGATTACATATTAAGTATGATCGAAATTCCTCTTACCTCTTATCTCTAAAGGTATAAAAAGCTAAAAAAAAGCTAAAAAAAGCTAGCAAGAACGACTTCTAACACTATATAGAATCATGGATTGATTTGAGCCAATGGATGGGGTAGAGATTTTCTTCCCTATTTCTTTAATGAAAGATAAGGCTATGTGAGCCAATTTGCCCGAAGTGGACCATGGGAATAAAGTGAATGTTTGTTATGAATGAGTATTTATCCCTTTTGTTATTTTCAGCAAATGAGAGGCAATCTTCATGCATGTTCGATTTGACAAATACATCAATGCGTGTATAATGTCATGCTAATAATAAACCCTCTCTCCCAGGGGAGTAATGCCCATCCATCTCATCTCTTACCAATAGTTGTGTCAAGACCTATAGCTTCTAAGAAGCATAAAATGTTGACCTTTTTATGATTGTATATTGATGTTAAACGGCTAGATTTGAGCCGATTTTTAAAAACGGTTAACTCAATACTTTAGGCAGAAAAATATGCCTAAATCTCGAGATTTCTCTAACAGATGTCCAAACCCTTGTGTCACCTATGAGCAAATCTTCAAGCTAGCGTAATATTTTTAAAATATTGAGTTCGCCGTTTAGCCATACTGAGAATGTATTTTGCTTCTTTGCTCAAGGTTATCACACTTTAAATGGTAATTTTAAACAATTAACGAGAGACCGGGCCAAAATTGAGATGTGAAATTATAGCTCTGCACTCCTTTTTTTTAAAACTTTTACTTCCCCATAAAAACTTTTTTTAAAACAAAATATATTTGTGTTTTTATATCATTTATGCATTATAAAATATAACGTCTAAAATCAATCCCAATTTTTTGCCAAGTCAGGCACTCGTTTATAGTAATCGCAATGTCACTTAAGTGATGTGTAATTCATCGCTAAATAATAGCATAGCCATGTGCTATTTTTGTGGTTTACTAGAAACAAGGTTAGGATTAAAGGACATTTTTTGATGATCACTTTAAAAGAATATATAATATTTCATTTATTAGTAAGGATAAATGAATAAAATGTGTTGATTAATAAAATAGAAATAAATGAGATATTTTTCTAGGAATGTTCTGAAAACTGGAACAGAACCAAAGGAATGCCTTTGTTATGAGTCTCTGATAACCTAAAGCATTCTCATATATTCATTCATTCACAGTGGAGTAGGAAAGCCATGAAAAATATGAATAGCGAAAATTTTAGTTTTCATAATACGTTTCTATGGATATCTTGATGATAATTCGCTTTTATTTATTTTAAATTAATAAAACCCCCTAATTTATTTTCTAATTCTATAAATTAATCTCAAAACATTTCTATTTACAAACTTATGTTAAAAAATCATTAAAATATATAAATAAACAATACATATAATGAAATTTTCACATAAAAAATTTGTTATAAAATATATTTAAAAATAATTAAAAAACGGGAAGCTTCCATAGATGCTATAATTCGTATAGGGTCGGCATTTGACCTATTTTCAATTATAAAAGCGTACTTAGTATTAATATTACTTTACTAAACAATCGCTTATCAATAACTATTATAATCGTTTTAAATTTCACTATAACCAATCCATCCAATTTTAGTATCAATTCTCCAAAGATGCCACGAGTTCTATTTAATTACATTTTTTATGCTACCTACTAAATTACAAGAATATCAAAGCAACAGCCAGTGACATAGTCACATATTTTAAAATATGATAAAAAGTTCATTTTTTATAATGATAATAATAATTATTTGCTTTGGTACTTCTAGATTCTTCCTTCGATCTTGAATCTTGTTATGAATTTTAGTATTTTTATTCGGCTAATAAACTTTTTATTTATACCGTTTACCAATCGGATTGAAGCTTAAACTAAAAAAGTTTACTATTTAAGCATTACAAATTTAGCCTATGGGAAGAGTGTTTTTAAAAGTTTGGCAAATTAGTGTTTAAGATTCATTTTAATATGAGTCCGATTCATATCAAATTCTTGAACATATAATTCGATTTAAACTATTTCACTTCTATATCTATTAAATAAACCGAAAAGAAAAAATAATCTATAAAGATCATAGAATAATAAGATTCAAAAATATTTAAAATCGGGGAAAAGTAAACCTCAAATATATTTAGATGCAATTATTTTTGAATCACAATTTAAAATCCGATATTTACTTTACAACTCAGCCTAAGGCCTGCCGGAATTTTTTCATTTATAACTAAAAACTGTTTGATGATGAATTAGTCAGTACAGCTAATCCAGATATTCAGTGATAATTTTCCTTCTAGTTTTGCCAATTTTTTCCTTGCCAATAACACATTTTTCTTTAAACTAGTTACCAAACAGATTGAAGCATTAAAATGTACTAAATACGCACTAATTTTTGATATAAATTTCAGAGTTAAGATTGGATGACTTCAGGCTTAAGGCGTGATATTCGTTTATATATGGTATAATTTGGTTACTTTTCTTGTAACTGGCGTTGATTGAAGATTATTCATTAAGGCACTAACTAAGAAGGCAACCTGATATTATGAACTTGTACAATCTCCGTTTTAGCATGCTAATTTATTTTCTTATTTTAACAATAATTTATTTCCTTTTTAACTCATATAACAAATAGATAGGGCAATTAAATGCAGGGTTTAGAACCAAACCCGAAACTCAAAGTTTTGAAAAATTTTCCCGAACCCGGATTATTTGACAAATGTTCAATCGGGTTCATAGAATTTTAGATTTATTTATTCCTTAATTATTATACTTAGTGATTATAAGATTAAAGAAAAGCAGGAGAAAACATTACAAAAGGACCAACGATTGCGCTAATTACTGGATTTAGCGATTTCAAAAAATAGGATAAGAGGGAAAATATTTTGCATTTTTTGGGAGTTTAAGCTGCAGCATTAATCTTATTTTATGCTCCTGCAACCTAAGTTAATTTATCATATTTCCACATATTTAATATAGGTTAGCATTGAAAGATCTTTTTCACATTTGAAATTTATTCTTTCACCGCAAAGATCGAGGATAAGCAAACAACTCTTGGAAAATATTATGCTAATACACCTAAATAAAATTTTTAAAATGATACATGAACTATGCTTTGTTTTGAAATATATTTTGCCTATTAAAGATTTTATTTTTTATACCAAATTTTCTAGTTTTTTAATTATGATTTATATATATGTCGTATGGGGATTCGGAATCTCTTAATCCTATACCGAGGGCGATTTAAAAAATTTTAAAATCCGGTCTGACCGAAAATGTTCTAGCATGTGTAGAGTATTTATCCTATAAAATTCAGCCAATTTCAGCCATGGACATTTAAGTATTTTCTAATTTATATGAAAAATCCATATAAAAATTAATATAAATTAGAAATAGTTCAAAAGTTCATGGCAAAATTGGCTGAAATTTATAGGGTATATACTCTACACATGCCAGAATACATTCCCGGTTAAATCGGATTTTAAAATTTTTTAAATCGCCCTAGGTAAAAAATTTAAAATCAAGAGATTCCGAATCCCCATATAACATATATATATAATTTATATAAATTTAATTATTCCTGAACTTGAGCTGATTTCAGAACCATAACTGGGTTGAAAAATATTTCCCTGAACCAAACCACTTAATTTTTTTTACCTTAACCCGAACTCATTTGATATTTTTAAGTTCACAGCCCTGATTAAATATTCTTATAAAGCAATATTTAATGGTTTGGTATGTTTCAAAATTAGTGTTTCCAAAAACTAGTTTAGTTTTCATTTTGTTAACTTGGTTTCTTATATGATCCTTAAAATTGATTGAGGAATTAATAAGTGATAGTAAGATACTAAATATTAGCTCAACCAAATATTTAGTCTTTATATTCTCGATTGTTGTTGCCATTTTTGACAATTTTTCCTTATTTTATTAATATATTCTATTCGATATAATCAGAGTTGTTAAAGTTGGGCACAGTACACTATCTTTTTTAGATATAGCCAATAGCATGCTACTTTTTTAGGCATTGAGTTAGCATGCAACTTAAAGACATAACTTTAAACATGAAAATTAAAATATAATTTAGACTTAATACATTGGTTATCGGTGCAGCAAAAATGGCTGATACAGATAATTTTTTTGAAATAATGGATAAGTTGGTCTACAACCCATTCTAAGAAGACAGGTTAATTATATGATGCCCCATCTTACATTATCATACCAGTTTTATTGGCAAGGTAAGATTTAATATAAATGGATATTTTAATATAATATCTATAAGAATTTGTAAAAAAATCTTATAAAATTAAAAAATCATCTGCTTGTTTCAATTATATAAAATTTTTTTTAAATAATTATAAAAATCATCTGCTTATTAGAATTTAAATTTTATTATATAAATGAAGTGTTATTTAACCTATCAAGATCCATAAGAGATTCTTCAGCTTTAATCCTGTCATTTTCACCATAGTTTACTCTATTAGATTCTAAGGGGTTCATATAAACAATTTCGCATTTCGAACATAGTGCTGTTCAAATATTTTAAAAAAAATGTTTTTATGTATAATTGTAATACCAGTAAGGCATTTTTTATGTTTGGAACATTTTTTCACATTATTTTGCTTGGTTAATTTTGGCAATTTAAGTTCATTTAATTGTTCAACTGCCTTTTGATAGGAATCTGGTATCAATGATTGTATATTGTTTATGTGTGACTCATTAATATCAGTAAAAAATTCCTCAATTTTGTTCCAGAAATTAGTTGGAATATCAGCATTATGATCAAGATTAATATGATCAACATTCTCAGAAACTTCTTTGGTGTTTTTATAACTTTTATGTTTTTTATTTTTATATGGTATATTCTTTTTTATTTTTTGACTTTTGTAATACTCATTTGTAAATTGAGAAGAGTTTAGAGAGCCATTAATATTTGAATCTAAACTAAAATTTGAATCTTCATTATAAATACCAGATGATGAGGGAATGGAATGGTAATCCTATAAATAAAGTTTTTAACATAAAAAAACATATATATAATACATTTAAATTTTCAAATAGAGGCTCAGATATTAAAGTTTCTTTTAATTTACCCATCTAAAATTATATTGTATAGAGGCAAAAATATAATATTACAAAATCTGGCTGTTTTGTAAGTTCTTCCTTGTACTTATTTTTTAAATCTATAATCTCTGTAAGGGATCTCTCAAGTTCCTTATATAATACTGACAATTCATTGTAATTTGGTATAGATGGCACGACCAACTCTATGTTATAAATTTTATTTGAATATAAATAATATAGTTATACTCGTGAGGTCGGTTAGTTTGGGTAGCTTATTTATATTTTTTAAACTATTATTTCTATTATTAATTTTATGATCTGAGGTCTTACAATCTGGTTTCATTTATAAAATGTGTTCTAACATAATGAACATATGTATCCACTAAGTGTTAGGTATATATTTTTTTAATCTTAATATTTTTTATGACACAGGATTTGAAGGCTATAGCTAAGTAACCCTTAAATTTCTGTGGTCTTTGCTTTTGGGGAATTTATATAGGTAGGATTTGTTCCATTCCACTGCAGTAGTTCTGTTCTCTCATATACTATTGAAAGAGGGCAAATAGGTAGAGAGACATTGTCATAGGTGCAATTTTTGGATATTCTGCTTTGATATTATCCAGCCTCTGAGCTTTGTTTTTCCTTAACTTTTTTATTACTTGTTATTTCATTCATGGATAAACCAGTCGAAAATAGGGCGAGGTTTGTAATTATGTTTGTTGGTAGAGTTGCTTTCCGTGACTGGTACTATCATATAACAATCAAGCCATAATGCCATTTGTTAATCCTGGTCAACAATTACTTTTCCATTTACTAAAACTATAGAGAGCAGTTTCCTAAATCTGCGTCATAGATCCTGTACTCTCATATCTTTATAAATATCAAAAACGTTTTCGCTATATAAATCTGTCTATCACTTCGTATTTGTTTTTCCAGAACCTAAAAAAAAATTCTTCGTGAAACAGGATGTGTGGTGTTCACGGCTGGGTAGTCCTAAATTTATCACTGACTACTTTTTATCTACTCACTATATATTTCACGCTCTATTTCAACAATTTGCGGTAAACCGATTAGTTTATTTTTTATTTTTTTATGAGTATAATTCGAAATTCAATTGTTATAAATATATTCTCAATTATTGATGGTATTCATTAAGGTTTACATTAAAGATGTTAAACCTAAAATCAGCCACCACCCACACTTAAAGGAATTTAATTATTTTTGCAATTCTCGGGTATAGGCTTTTGTTTTGCCAAATTCTTTTTGTTATTAGATATGGATGTTTAAACAATAGTTCTCGGACTGTTGCGTACAAGTAGGTCTGGCTTGCCCACGGCTCCTCATTTTCTCCCCCCTAATTAACTATCCAGCTTGATGGATTTTTGAGGAAATCCTAGCGTAGCTCTGTTGTATCCACAACCAGAGATCGAAAACGATTTTATCACGTAATTACAAAATTAGCCCTTACATCAGAACCCAAGGAATTTTATATTTTAAGACAAAAATTTCAAATTACTATTTTAAAAAACAATTATCCTTTTCTTTTTAGCAGGTTGTTAAAGTAGCGCGCTAACTTTTTTGGTAGCTATAGCTAATAGGGGCTACTTTTTTTGTAATTATTTAATTTTTTAGCGCGCTACTTTTTTTGAAAGTAGCTAAGTAGCCTCTACTTCGCTACTTTTAAAAAATATAATGAAGGAAAGTATAAACAGGAAAATTTAAATATAATATCATAATTAATTATATTTTATTATTTATTATTTAATTTTGAAGTTAAAATATAATTTCAATTTGTAATTTATATTTTCATTTGTATTATAAACCTAAATCACGTGTTAATAATTTAAAATGTTATCGCCTATGGATATTCAAATCGTTGAAAGTGATTCAGACAATTATATATATGAAATGGAAGATACCAAGGGAAGAAAATGTTCTTAATAGCTATAATACAAATTTCCCATTCCCTAGATTTAAAAATTTTTTAAAATAAATATATAACTAAAACTGGTTTCAAATTTATTTGTTTAAAATGTAAAAAAAAATATTTTCCCAAATCAATCCAGTAGCTATAACCTCAATAAACACCTAAAGGTAAATTGTCATTTTTACATTCTAATAATATTTATTGAGTTTTAAGGAAATGGAGAAACATCTAAATAATTTTGGTATAGTCGACTCTACATCCAAAAATACTAATTCAATTCAAACCAAATTAATTAATAATACAAAAGACAATATTTCTCAGAAATTGGCTGATAAGGTTATTATTGATTTTATAATTTATACAGTTCAGCCAGTGTCCTTAGTTGATAATCCATCATTTACCATGATGATTAAAACTTTATCCACCTGGTACAACAATTTTATGCCGCTAGACATTAATGAATAAAATAGCAGATATCTTTAAAATAATGAAAGATGCTCTAATAGTATTGTTATCAGAGATATCATATATATGTACCACGGGAGATAGGTGAACACATAACAGAAGGTAAAAGCTTTTATGTTTATAAATTGATCTGATTAAATATTTTTTAGCTTATTTGGGAATCACAGGCCATGGACTAGACCCTAGAACTTTAAAAAGAAGATCTGTGGCATTAGCCCTCAAAATGATAATAGGATGCCAGACATACGATGTACTTGCAAATAAAATTATTGAAATCTATTATATAAAAATATGTGTATAAGATTAAATACGCCCTTACCCTTAAGTGCTAGTGTCGAGAGATTATTTAATAAGGCAAAACTTATACTTTCTGCTCGTTGCTCTAGACTTGAGGATGATAATATTGAAATGATTTTACTATTAAAATGCAACAAATTACCATAAATTTTTTATAATCAAAACTAACTATATTTTAATATTTATAAATGTTGATTTTTATATATTTACTATACAATAACATTATTAGCAAAAAATAAAAAGTAGCTAAAGCTACTTTTAAAAAATAGTAGCCAATAGCGAGCTAATTTTTTTGACAAATAGCGATAGCGGTAGCGCGCTACTTTTAAAAGTAGCATTTAACAACTCTGCCTTTTAGGAACTTGTAGTCCCTTTTATAGAATGAGCGTTTTTATTTTTATTATATTTATAATAATTTATGATTGAAATATAATTACATATTATAAATTAAAAATCTATTATCAAATAAAATCAATAATTTGTTTACTTTAGAGATAGCCAGTGAGGCGATTAGATTATAAAAGCCTCTTTTAGAAAAAAGTTAATTTTTATTTTTTTATAATTTTATTTAATAACAGATACAAAATATCTTAATGCTGGCTGACCATGAAAAAGTATTACTTATATCTTCAATGTATCCAAGTTATTACAATTTATAAAAAAATATCTTGAAGGAATGTAATGAGTCTTTATATATTAATATTTATTATATAATTTATCCTCTTGTAAAATTAAGTAATTATATCTCATCGGTTGTATGGTGTCAAGCCGGTAACCTGATGAATACCTAAAACAACAAACGCTCTAAGCCCATCATATTTAAAAAATAAGTAAAATATATTTTAATTTTTTTCTAGGATGTGCTGAAATATTGTTAAAAATGAAAATCTTTTGTTTAAATAAAATGCCTTCATAATATTTTAAATTTATTATTTTCGGATTATTTATAATTATCTTAAAGTTAAAATTTTTAAACTTAAGAATACCAGAGTCTATTATTTATACAAATAATTATTTTATTTAGATATGTATATTATAAAAAATCGTATTTTGGAATGCTATGAAGTCAAACTTTGTCGTCCAAGTTAAAAATTTATGTGGGCTAGAGGCATGCGGGTATCCAACGAGGGGGGAGGGGAGAGGGGTAGAAATCCCCTTAGTAAAATTTATTGGAACTATTTCAAGTAGGTTATATTCTATTTTAATTTAAAGTTTATTTTCTTACATTTATATAAAACTTTAATCATTTATGGATATAAAATATAAAAACCAAAAATATATATTTAATTTCTATATGCTAATTACTCTGATTGGGCAACATATCTATAGTGTATTAAATATTCATCAGACATCTAAAGATACAGGATTTACTGAATAGAATTATTTCTGGGAATTCTTGAACCACATGAAGAAAGAAATTGCAAAAAGCAGGCCCGGCAAGATGAAATTTTTGACATTACACTGTTACTGAATTTTTGGATCTCGAAAAGCCTATTTTGAATGTACTGGGAGAAATATTAGAATGATAATAACCAGATATTTTCTGAAGCAGATACATTATTATATTCAATAAGACAGGAGATTTCTCTTTGAATTGTAATGCATTAATAAATTATTTAGTTACACTATAATTTTATGCCAAATTTTAAAAAAAAATGATATGGATTTGGCTGAGGCCATGAGAATCGCGGATATTATTATATTATAACTTAAAAAACTAAAAGATAATATCTTCAGGAGGTTTATTTATTATTAAGGCGAAAGCAGAATTATATGATTTTGAGATTCGCAAGCCACCTTGACAACCTGATGGGTCAAACATTAACGTGAGACTCAATTGAGGATTACTATAAAATAACTGTTGTTATTCCACTTTAGATACATTTTTAAATCAATCAATGTTTATCAAATGGCTCTGTCCAATTTATAAATAATATTACGAGCAAATCATTTTTAGAATAATTGAAAATATTAAATATTTAGCTAAATATTAGAATATATAAATATATTGGAAGGCCTATTAATTTCAGAATTTAATCTTGGTTAGAAAGATTAATTTTAGCGAAGAATCCTCAATAAACGTAATGGAATTGCATATTTTGGATTTTTTTCAAAATATATTAAAATTACCGTATATTTTGGCAACAATATCAATTGGTAAAAGCACAAATGAGAGGATCTTTTCTTCATTAGAATAAAAACATCTCAAAAGTTTGACATCTTAAAATCGATTGAATGCACTAGTTTTACTTAATTTATATTAAGATTTAATCCCCATTCGGAACAAATTATTGAAAAATTGGGCGCAAAGAAGATTAAATTTTCATTTATGAACGATATTTTGATTAACTTTTTAAACCATCATATAATGTTTAATTCTCTATTTTACTATGATTTACATTAAATATAGGTTCTATAACATTTTTTAACAATATTATATGGCTCTCAAATATTTTGTATTTTCCAATATTTTATTATTTGTATTCGAAATTGTCATTTTTGATATGATTGGTTATAATAAATTTTATATTGTTTAATTCTAGTAAATTTTTAATGTTCCAAAAAATAAAATTTTAATTAAAAAAAAAATTATCCCTCCCTCTAGAAAATTTCTGCCTACTGCCTGGCTAGAGAAATAGGATTAGAAAAATATTTAATTTTCTAAATAGTATGTGCTGTGCTACAA